TTCCATAGCGGAAAGTTCTAGAATATTTGATAAACGTTCTACGGTTTACAATTTTGTTAGTCATTAATTAATATAATTGCAAATAATAAACTTTTCTTGTTTTAAATTTTCTATGTATGACCGATCTTCTGTAAAGATCTGTCAATGATACGCTCATTCACATTTCTTACGCTCATTCACATTTCATTCATTCACATTTTTATCGTAGAATTGATTTCTAATATTGTTTCTAAACAAATTTATTTCTATGAAGGTTTTAAGTTTGTCTTATTTTGTCAATTTGCACACAATTTGCAATGTTATCCTTAAGATCTTTAAACTAAAACATCGTTATAGAATTTTTAATTATTTTTAGTTAACATTAAAAATAATCAAAAACTGTAACATTTTAGTTATCTAGAATGTTACAATTACATCTGTTGATAATTATTAACTTTAATTTATTAATATTATTTCACGAAGGGACTCGATGATAAGACATTTTGTTTAATATACAGGTTTTTGTATAATATACTTATATAATATACATGTTCTGATATTAAACAAAAGAGTGATCCTAAAAAGTATAAAAAGAAATTAAAAAAAAAAAATTAAAAAGTTTGAAAAAAAAGTAATAGTTTTTGTATAACGTAAATATAAAAATTTACATAACGTAAATATAAAAATTTACAAATCGGTATATAAACGTAGGGGAGAGTTGTCGAAATTGGAACTGTGCCTCAATTGGAACACTTGCATTTATTTTTGAAAAAAAATGAATTATGGCTATATTTTGCATTTTTTTAGTAAAACCCATTATTTTCTACCCGACGGGCATTTGTTTTTAAAAGTTACGATCTAAATGTATTTTAAATGTCTTTTAAACGTCTTTTAAACAAAAATTTTTAAAAGACGTTTAAAACACATTTAGAACGTAACTTTTAAAAACAAATGCCCGTCGGGTACGTTTTGACACATTTTGAAAGTTATTCCTCAAAAAATGCGTTTGCACCATTGATTTAAAGCTTTTTTGCGTCATTTTTTTTCAGCGATCTAATTTTGTGTTCACACTATATTGATTGCGCTGGGTAAACTATGGTACTACAGGTTATACCGTTTTTTGTGTTCAATTCAATGGGATTTAAAATGCAAAATAACAAAAGAAACTTATCTTATAGGTTGCAGCAAGTATGTTATTGTATGATATAACAAAATAGTCGAAAGTTTCCTTGATTGGACATTGAAGTTTTCCTTATCTAATCAGTAATAAAATCAAAGGGTAAAATGTAAAAGTAGTTTGAGTGCAATTAAAAAAATACTTAGTAACAATCATAAACCTTAAAAATAATACTTTATTTAGTGATTTTTAATCAATAAGTTTAGAGAACGTCATAACAGTTGAAGATTTATACAATTTTTTGTTTGTAGACTTTAAATTTATTAGGGTAATACTAATCCTATAATAAGTTTTGAATTAACTGTTTAAATTTTCACTGTAAAGATGAAAATCATTTTTTAAAAATTTTTGTTGATTTTACTGTTTTTTTTTAAATAACCTATTCTGATGAAGGAATCAAAGTGTTCCAATTTAGGGAACCAGTTGCCTTGATTGAAACAAAATGGTAACTTTGCAAAAACAAATTTATTTCAAATGTGCAATCAATTAAGTCACATTGTGGTTAAAAGTATAGTAGGGATGTGTGTTTGTATTAATCAAATCATAAATGTTTTCATAGTGAAGCCATCTTTGGGTAATAAATATTTATTCCTTAAGTGTTCCAATCAAGGCAACTCTCCCCTATATCATAAATAAGATATATCATAAAATAAATTAAAAAAAAAAAAAAAAAATTGAAAGAGTGTATGTTTTGTTTAAATTTAGTTAGTGTTTTTTTTATAGTTTTTTAAATATATCAATAGATCATATTTTCATCAAGAACAAGCGCGGTCCCCGACATAAAATTGAGAAGTCAGATTTTTTTAGCGATGTTAGTAAAATGTAGTAATTACTTATTGAGTGTCTTGTTTCGTATTTATGATTAATTAGAGAAAAATTTCTATAAAAAATATTCTGGAATTATTTCATTTTGAAGTAAAACATAAATAACAAATATTCAGTTCATATACGTTTAGAACATTTGTTTCCTTGAGTAACGGCTCAACACTTTAGGTTAGAAGCAACAAGTTTAGCTTCATTTCCTATAACTTTCTAACAGTCATGAATAGTTATTAGTTGTAAAAGCAAAATTTTTATATTTGAAACTTTCATATCTAAAGTTGCGTTACAAGCTTGAATGATTATGTTGCGATTTTCACTAAAAGTTATTATTCTGTGGTACACAACTGACATATTTATGCTGGTAAAAAAATACTGGTTTAAAAAATTGCTCCACAAATCTTTTCCTCTGATTGTCAATGCATTTTTTTTTTGCGCTTACAATTTAGATTTTTCTCGTAAGCAGAATCTTAAAAAACCAAGTTGATAATTTTCTGGAAATTTAAAAAATCATTTTCTAGAATAAATTTTAAAACATTCTTATCTTTTTTTTAATTTGTACCCACTGCACCTACAGCAGGATTAAAAACTCTACAATCCACTGCAGCTACAGCAGGATTAAACCTTAATTCACTTCAGCTACAGCAGGATAAAAAACAATCCAGAAATATTTAAACTAAAGAAAAAAAAGTAAAACTTATTATTTATTTTGTTCATTTTTTTAAAATTTGATATGCTTTAACATTGTTTTAGTTAAACAAAAGAGAAGTTTATAATTTCAATGTACGGTATATTCTATTCTTAGTAACCACTAGTTAGTTCAGTTACCGATGTATGATTTCAGTTACCATTATATCGCGTTTATAAAACTGGTATATTTCGAAATAAAAAAAAATTATTTTAGAACACGGTTTAAACTAACTAAACTCAATTAATACAGTTAATGATAAGAGGCTGTCCGTAAAGCACGTCACCTTTTTTTTTTTTTTAAAAAAAGGTTATGTTGTATTACTCATATTCTATATATTAAATTTAATCAAAGTGTGTCATGGGAACTTGTCTTACTTTTCGTAGATCTAACGATTTTTTAAATAACCGTCAATTGATATGATTTAAATAGGGCTGTCGGATTCTTTTGAAATAGGCCATTACCTCTCTTTTGCACTTCTTTTCTGTTCTTCGCAAACAGATCTAACTTGCAAAAGGGTAATAGCCATTTGGTTAATAAAATTGAAATGAGTAATGCTGACTCATGCTTTTTTAACATGACATAGTAGGCAAAGTACAAGTTACAATGCGTACAGATTCTCTGAGATAAACTTTATTGCATAGAGGGACGAAACAAGTTGTAAGGAGGAAGTTTGAATGATTTTAATAATTAAGGAATGGTGCTCTGAATATTGGAAGCGGTAAGAAAAAAATAAAGAAGGAAAAGGATTTTTGCTAGAGACGTCTGAAACGGCTACAGCTTTCAAGCCATCTTCTGACTGGCAGATTAGAATAGGTGGAGGCAGAAATTGACCAGAAATAATATGGAAATAAGAGCTCCTTTTCAAAGAACAACAGCCGGGATCCTCACATTTTATAATTTGCGTGATATGTTGGCTGGTGCGCATATAAGAGGCTGACCATTCCTAATCCTTTGATAAGAAATGACAAGCATCGAGCTCCTTCTTACCCTCTGGATTAATATACTCAACCACCGTTGGAAACAAATCAACCATCAGACCTGAAAAGATCAAAGCACAGATCTTTCCAGCGAATTCAAAATTTTGTTTCTCCGAAAGAAGATCCACTGTCCTACCTTAAATATAAATCACTATGCAGATAATTAATTCTTGCTATATATGCTATTTAATTAAGTCTTGCTATATATGTTATACTTTGATAAAGAATTGATATTAAAAATGAATTTAAATTCCTTGAGAGTCTAGATGAGTTTTATAATAGTCATGAGGGAAAATTAATCCGGCTAAATCAACACTGAAGTTAATCAATGGCTTGACCAAATTTGTAAAAGGGTCTTTTGTAATGAAATCGAAATCTGGCAGAGTCAAAAGTTGCTTAAAGTCTGATTTGAGAGCATACGCTGTCGATGATGAATGCTTTGTCAAATCGAACAGCAATATAAGTGGGACCAAAACAGGAAATTGCATCAGATTTTCCAAGCCCATATGGTTTGATTTCAATATCTGGGTAGAGAGATTGGATGAGCTTATGCTTTATGGCGATGACCTAATCATGATTAGGAAGAGAAACTCGATATTCCATATGCATTAGTATAAAGCTTGTTTGTTACTGCGGTGATTCCAAATGGGATCCGAGCTTTATTGTTTTGACTTATAACGCACACATCTTGGAGCCTAAACAAGAGCAAACTCCTTTCACATTCCTTATAGTTGCTGAACAAAAAGGATCATTCACGTGACCAGAGGCGATTCTACAAAAAAAATGAGGGGGGGGGGGTGAATCCATAAAAAGTACCGACTGGCTTCGTAAAAAAAAAAAAAAAAAAAAGTCCTCAAAACTAAAATTTAACCGACTGATTTGTGTCAAATACCCGATTAAATTCGTAAAAAAACCGACTATAACTTAAAAATCATATTTTTTTGGAGGAGTATAACACCTCTCACCCCCCCCCCCCTTAAAATCGCCTCTGCACGTGACTTGAATGAAGTTCGTTTTGGGCTCGCATCAACTTGATTGAAACCGTGTGTACGTGTCTTTTTCCTTCAAACAATATGCTCCGTTTTGGCATCAACCGAGTATGTAAAGAATTTCTGCTAAGATGGTATATTTATATATATATATATATATATATATATATATATATATATATATATATATATATATATATATATATATATATATATATATATATATATACATATATATATATATATATATATATATATATATATATATATATATATATATATATATATATATATATATATATATATATATATATATATATATATATATATATATATATATATATATATGAAAAAATAATTTTTACAAATATTAACACGACTCTTTTCTCTTTAATTACAATAAATAAAAACATTACATTCCGTTAATTACTAAAAAATTTTATTGTTTTTGAAAACTTTGTTGCGATTAAAAAAAAAAACTATTATTCATTCATAAATCCTTATAGGCCGTCGTCTGAGCCTGCTTTCATAGGGCTTGTAATTGTAAAAATGTTTTAAGCGGTTTTTAATGACTATATATGGAGTTTTATCTAATAGAAATTTACATTAAGATTTGCAAAAATCAGAATTTAATTTATTAAAGAAAAAACATCTAAATTCAAAGTTTTTTTTAATACAAGAAAACTGTTGTTCAAAATAAATTTTTTATTGCTAATTTATTTTTTATATATATTTTTTAAACAAAAGTTAATTTTCTCGAGTGCAAAGGACTAAGTCTTTTTGAGATATTACAGTTGAAGCATTTTGTTTATATGTGTAAAACATGTATATCGTTAAATGTTTTAACTTATTACCAATAGTTCAGCCCGCAGTTTCGGAATACGATTTGAAAATTTTCTTTTTTCTTTTTTATAAATATTATGTACATTAACACTGTATAATCCAATTTCTAAAAAGTTGACTTTTTTTTACGGCTAAATCTTTTGAGGACCGTTAAAATTTCCGGGGATCATCACGTAGTTTGATCCGTTTGGTGAATGAAGTACGTAATTTTCTTTCCCGTTGACTTGAACTTGAGCCCAGCACGGTTGCATTATGTAATTTGGTTGTTGTAGATAATGCTCGCCACTCTCAGGGTAACCTCTTTGGCTATATTCTAATAACTTTTGTTGTTCTAAAGACATTAATAGTGCATTTTTGTTCGACATGCGTGATTTATTCAATGTTGGGGTTTCTGATTTTTGACGAGATGATCGATTAGAACTGGAGGTTGAAGAGCGTTGATCAATTTCTTCGTCTTTATTTAATTTATTTTCCTTAATATCAGAAGACCTAACATATTTTTTATATCCAATAATACATGACGCTATAAGAATAATTGCAACACAACACGTAATTCCTGCTATTGCTGGTATATTTAAACTGGATATATTTTCGTGTGTTATCTCTAAAATCAAACAAACAAAAAATAATTTGTTTCTAAATTATTATAAATAGTGTAAACTTTTAACTATGCTTTAAATAAGCTAATTTTAGTCTGCCTTTGTTTTCTAATGGTTACCTGTGATTTCTTCATATTCAGCTTGAAACCTTATTTCATCGTTTGGCACTCCTAAATAGTTATGTAACGATATATTAACTCGATTACCAAAGCTTGTCACGGTTACAGGTAAATTATTTTGTCTTTCTTTTGGTATGATATACTTTTGAATAAAATTTTTGTTACCATTTAAAAGTAAATAACCGTGTGTTAATTTTAAATCAAAAATAGTTATTTTAATTCGAGTTTCAAATCCAGTCTCAATGCTCCAATAGCAGTCCACTGATTTTTCATAGGATAACGTCGATACTATTCTACCTCTTGCTTCGTTTAATATGCAACCGCAATTACATCTTTCCGCTAAAAATAAAGTTCCTTTTTAAAAACCATGCCATAAAGTGTCAATTTCATGCAAACAAATGCAAAAAAAAAATTAATTTATAATGTTATCACTTTATAATAACCTTACCTTTCGGACATGCCAGTAATACGCATGGAATTTTCATTTCTGAATGTCCTTGGCAAAAACTAGTGTTTAAGTTTGGATTTACAACATTACATTCTCGATATTGATATCTGAAGCCATTACCACATGTTACTGAACATGCGCTCAATCTCGACCATTCACTCCATTGAACATTTTCTAAAAATAACATTTCTTAAATAATCCAAATATATAATAAAAACTATTGTTAAGATAATTTACTGACCGAAACAGTATTATATTAATTTCGGTTGTGCGAGACTACTCTACGCAATTATATTATTATACAGTGATTAAAAAAAAAAAGTGGACAACAGAGCACCCACCTAGGCACAGTGGGACAAAATCGAGTTTTTTGTGCCAAAATTATTTTCGTATTTTTTTTTTTATTAGAATAGCTATATTTATATATAAAATGCATAAATAAAGTAATAAGCATGTAATTATATAATATAAAAAAAAATAAAAAAAAAAAAGTAAATTTTGGTGAAAAATACGAAATATTTTTAATGGACAACTTTTATCAGTGTAAACATCAAAAATATTACTTTTCAATGCATGTATTTGTCATAAAATAACTTTTTTAGATTTATATTTACAGAAATTATATATTATAACAGTAATAAAAAATTTTGTTGGTATTGTGTACAAAACATCTTTTTTACATGTTCAGTATTTCTCATCAGCTGACCATTAACCGAAGACCAATTTTAACTAGATATTTCTTCTAATGAACATATCTTCACCTTTAGGGGTCGTCCATAAATAACGTAACGCAATTTTCGATCGTTTTGACCTCCCTCCCCCCTTCGCCACAAAAAAGTAACACTTAAGAAGCAAGTATTGTATGAGTCGTCACAAAACCACCAACCCCCTCCCCCTCTAATAGCGTGACGTAATTTATGGACGACCCCTTGTAGCAAATTTTCACTGTACAATGACGACATCGATTTCTTGATTTTTTTGCACATTCTGTCCCACTGTGCAAGGGTGCATAATATCAAAGCAAATGCAAAGGACGCCATCGTCAACTTTCCTTAGTTTCTTTTGTAAATTAAAAAGAATCGCATAGTAACGTAATGTTTTGCAAATGAAAAATGGGAATTTCATGGTTCGTAATTATTTGAATCAAAACTTAAAGAATCTTTGTACTAGGTGTAAATACTACAAAACATATTACAAACTTGCTAGGTTTAAAAAAATTGTTTTATTCTTTTCTTTGCGTTTGAGTTAAGCAAGAACCTTGATCTCTCCTTGAATTATCTATTATTTAAAACATATCTAAAATTCGGGATAGAATGTCTTTAGTAGTACTTTTTGAAGGCTTTGAATTTGATGAGATTAGAGTTCTAGTGTTACAGAACAAAAATATTTTCGAGAGCAAGCAGTATTTTAATATTTCTAAACAAAAGCAACTTATTTCTATTCCTATTATCTTGGATTATGAAATCGTGCTTTGTAATTAACCTTTAATTACAATTTTTATTAAGTAAGTGAGAAAATATTTCCATTATCATAAATATTATTGGTAATAATTTCAGACTTCAGACAGAATTAAGTTTATCTATATTGGATCAAAACGTTTTTTTTTTTAATTATTTTATTTGAATGATTAAACCCTTGAAAAGGTTAGAAAACGCTTTATATTAATTTTATATTTTTTTTTGCTGCATTATCCCATCGTTTTCCGATTAATGTTTTACCCTACGGCCATTTGTTTTTAAAAGTTACGTTCTAAATGTCTTTACGTAAGAATATTTAGAAGACGCTTAAAAGACATTAAAAATATATTTAGAACGTAATACTTAAAAACAAATGCTCGCTGGGTATTTACAAATGTGATATAGACCTATGTGTCGTTGGCAATGCTATATGTCATCGACCCCACAGTGGATATTTTTCAGTACAATTAATTCATAAAAAGTTGATAGTCGCGTTGGATTTATTATTTTCTATTCTATGCTTTTAAAACATAAACGCTAGTTAACATAAATGGCATAAATAATAAATATAGACCATCTTTTACACTCTCTTTTCATGTTCATGTAAATATCAGCAATTCTAATGTAAGTTTTATCTACTAAATCTTTTACATGATGTTAAAGCACGAGTTTGAATATAACATTACACCTGTTCACAAATAAAGTTTATTATGAAAAACAAAAAACGAAAAAAGTAAGCGTAATTACCTTGAGAAGATTTCGAAATAAGAAAGACAACCAAAAAATGTATAACTTCTTTAACAGACATTTCCTTTTTATGAAATAAAGTTCCAACTTCACACAACCAAAACTACTGTTTTATTTATGTATATCTCTAAAAGTAAAGCGCTAAGCCATAAACTAACCTTTAAGAAATCATCAAAAGAAAATTCTACAAGGTCAATATACGATTGTTTAAACGTGCAAAGTATCCGTGGATTAGCTGGTAAATTATACGCACTTTTTTTTGTCCTTTATCTACTCGCGAGTTTGATTTTGAAATTCTTCAATAAGAAAAAAATAACATTTACCAAACGGAAAATTAAAGCATTTATTTTAAAATGCTCTGTAAGCAAGGTTACATTTGAGTTTTTTTCATTTAAAAAAAATAATAACCTTTTGCTCTAGAAAGGAAAATTATATCACTTATATATTGGAATGTCAATTATAAGTTACGTTTACAAAAAGTGTTTTGAACAAAAGTTTATCTCATCCCCCAGTTCATAATTAAATTTAAAATCAATAAAAAAAATTTATTGTCTTAAACAAATTTTCTTTTTACAAACTTTTAAACAAAAATTATAAATTGCAACAAAGAAGGCGTCTGATTAGGTGTCACATTTTAAAATAAGATCGTTTAAACTAACCTCATAAATATCTAGTATTAATAAAAATTTTTAAAAAAAGAATGATAAATTAGGATAACGGTTTTCTTTTTTATACTATAAGTGTTATGGGTTTAGAAAGTCTTTTCGGCAATCAATTTTGTTTAATATGTTCCAACAAAACAATAACTCTGATTAGCTTATTTCAAAAGCTTAAAAATTCAGTTGCGCCGAAATTCACCCATTTAAAAATTTATATCCTGATATGAGATTTTTAAGTATATGTATTGTAAAAACGAAATTTATTTAATGAACGATGACCGTAAAGTAATTTGTAACTATAAAATAATACCACTACTTGTATACCACTAGATAGTTAGAGCAATCTTAGGAGGTTAGTTTATATGGCCGAAAAAAAAAAGAAAGAAAGAAAAAAGAATTAAACAAAATTGAACTTATTCAATGGAATAAAAAAAAAAGCTTTTTTGTATGTGTGGTAGTTCACATATCTATGGGTATGCGTATGTTAGTTCACATATCTATGGGTAGATATGTATCTATGGGTATGCGTATATTAGTTCACACATCTATGGGTAAATATGTATCTATGGGTATGTGTATGTTAGTTACGTATTTTAGTTCTCTATGCTTTAAAAAAATTATTTTTTCTTTACAAACATTGAATCTTGTTTTATTTAATAAACATAAAAAAATGTCTCACCGAACAACAATTATCTGGCTTGGTAGATGGACCATAAATAACAATATCTATGCAGGTTTATGATTTTTGTAAAATACTATTTTCATTTAGTAAAATATAAAAAAAGTCAACTTTTTCAAATTAAAGTTAAACAAAATAAAATAAATGTCACTATTCAAGTAGCATACTAAATTGAGCTAACGTAAAAACAACGTCAGATTTGCCCAAACATTGGTCCAAAGCGTTGTGTTGCTTGGGTAAATCACTATATAGATACTATATGGATACATAGCTCTAATTTCGGATTCTTGATCTTAACGCTTGCTTCTTTTAAAGTACTATTTACAATGTAAACAGCGAACTGCAAACCAAGCAAAAGGAAGTACCTTTACAGATTGTCGTGGTATTGGTAACAAGTGATGTAAAAGTTATACATATTTATATATATTTAAATTGTCAAATGTAAGTGGTTCGTAAAATATATAAAAGTTATTATTATAAAATAATAAAAATATTATTTAATAATGTTTTTATTAAATTAATTTTTATTAAAATTATTATTAATAAAATTTTAAAATTAATGAAATTATTATTAATAAAATTAATAATTATAATTAATAAAATTAATATCAAAAAAAATATTATTATAAAAATTATAAAAATATAATTAATACAATTGTATTTATTATATTTTTACATTTAATTATTATAAATTATATATTTAGTTGGCAAAAAAGCCTTCATTTATCTGTTTTTAGTTCTTGGAATGCGTATTTAAATTTTCCGTCCTCTTATTCTCGCTATCTTCAAAGAAAAAAATTTTTAAAGAAAAATTCATTCATCTTTATTCACCTTCATTCACCTTACTAAGAAATTAACTTAAGTGTAAGTTTCGTGATAAAACAATATAAAAAAGAACTATCTTTCTCCAACCGGATTTAAATAATTAGCTATAAAATGGATTTAATATTATAAATAATGTGGAAATAATATATACAACCTAAGGATGTTAAAATGAATGTTCAATTATTCAACGCATAAAAGAAAAAATTTTATAATTTTTGATTTTTGAATAGAATGTAGGAAATGTACCTTCAACGTTTTTCTTTTTTGTTTGTTGTTGTTGTGCGCTTGATCGTAAATTAAAATTTTTTGAAAAATTAATAAAACATTATATTTATTTTAACATATAAATAACAGTAAATCGCATAATAAAATAAGCCTAATATCATACTGCTTGTGTGTTAAGATAAATAAAAATGTTTTAATAATAATTGTTCTTTCATAATACACATAATACACATAACGCACATAAATAATATGTTTGTTTTGGTCAAAAAATGTAACAAACAAACAAAATAACCAAGGCAGGTATAACCTTTTTTCCTCAACTTAATGCTTCCTAAATCTTTTTTTATATCTTCGAATTTTTTTTTTTTTTAATCAGCTAAACATATAAATACTTTTAAAAGCAATATTAATAAGTACAATAAAATAATAATTACTTACAATTATGTAATAAAATTTTGTTATGTAATAAATAATGTAAGGTAATAAAAATGATGTTTTGAAAATAGGCCTAAGGTTTTTTTAATTGATTAAATAAAAAACTTAAGCAAAATTTTTTATTTTATTAAATATAGAAACCTTTCC